TCCGTTGAAACTAACCCAGAAGATAATCTTAGTGTCTTCCATTAGCGCCAGCGCCAAGAATGAATGTCTATTTGTGAACAGGATGTTAGATTACCCCTATATACAAGTTTTCAGCGGATTTGGTGATCTAGGCACTTTAAAATGAGCTCGCAGCTAAAAGTCAGCGCGTCCAAACGGCATTAGCCATAACCTCGCAGATCAAAAATACGTGACGGAGAGACTCGCGAAGGAAATACGACTCCGCCGACTGGCTACTGCTGCGCCCACTTCTACTTTACCTGCTACCTGATGGTTACGTTGCTCCGCTACTAACTCTCTCTCCATTTCGAATGGTGAGATTAAGGTGATGAGGAGGATGAGCTGACACCAACAAGTGAGTCTCGTCCGATCACTTCCTTTCTTCGCTTTCTGCACGTGCAATCACAGTTCAGAACGGCATTCTGTATGCGGCACTTCCGGTGGGTTAATCCTGCTTTTTCCCCCACTTCTAACTTAACTACGATCTTGCGTTGGTATCTGAGCCGCATAAATCACCATTTTTGAACGCGGGGCGTGCCTCTAAGGCTCAGCACAACCGATCCTTGATGTCACGAATCCTCACACTGACGCGGAAGTTTCGGACGTTTATCTGGTTTGCTTTGAGAGAGCCCTTAGAACTGCGAAGTGCAACCCCGCGTTGTGAACACGATTCGCGTTTCTGATAGACTGTTGGACAGAAAACGTCATTTTTGCCAAATCACGTGGAGTGGAACACTCGCACTAGATTAGCGTCATGCCTTTCTTCACATGAACGCATTTGGTCATACCTTTCACTTTGCATCTTACTTTGTTTTGATTGTTACAGAAGTCAGTTGAGAACTAAAAAAGGAAAGAAGGGAAGGACTGTTCTTGAAGACTGTTCCCGTGCTCAACCAATCTGTAGGCGTTCTTCCTTGATCAAGAGGGCCGGTCCGCAGTCTCTGAGACTGTCCCACTTTCGCTGCTTCACAGTAAGTAACGACGGCTCTGTGGCCCTCACAAATCACAGCACTTACGCCTCCCTAGATGTCCCACCCACCAAAACTCAAGGGCTACCTTCTGTTACGAACTTAGCTAATACCGTGTTTTCGTTTTTTTTTTTGTTTTGCTGTTCTTTGGTAACAGCACTGGATGACGCAAAGGAACGATTAGTGAGGCGGAGGCAGCAGCATATCGCTTTGCTGGCATAAACGAGCAGGTCCGACCAACTCGTACATTGAGGCTGCCATGGGTCCTTACGGTGTTCTGATGTTTTTTTTTACTTTTTTCTACCCTGTAGAGTCACTTAGCGGCCACAGGTTTGTACAGTCCTTATCACCTGAGACGGAGTAGGCGTGGCTTTTGAGCATGGCATAGGACGGGTTTCTCGTGGGATACTTCAATTTGAAACAACTGCTATCTTGTTCTGTGTTAGATGTAGACATGATTACGACTGCTCCAAAATGAAAATATCTCACGAAAACCTGGGCCGCCGCCATTTCAAAATCAAGTACGCAGCCACGCCTACCCCATCACAGGGATTTCGAGTTTAACTGAAGCCACTATCATTAATATGCGCAATTGCGAGTTTGTCTTCAAACTATCAACAAGCAAGCTAAATGTAACCACCGACTGAGTATCTTCGTTCGTCTACCTCTAGAAGTACAGAACTCAAGGAAAAAGGCGAGTAAGGTAGAATGGTAGATTAATTAGCCACTGAACATTCACACCACTCATTGGTTTTCGATCAACGGCAGAATGTGCAACCTACACTTGACTCGCAGCTGTTTTTTTTGGTGAAACTAAGAATAGTGAAGCCCGAATGAGAACACGCTCAGTGATAAATGCTGCGTCAAAAGTGACTAGTTTGACCGGTAAACCATTCCCCTTACCTAAAAAAAACACGATCTCAGTCCTGCCGCTCATACAATAATTTGCAACAATGCGACTAATCGACAAATTTTTCTAATAATAATAGTTTTCCACTATGAGAAAATTTGATTAACCTTGGTACTGGTAGCGGTTCTAGACCTTCTCGTTCACATTTCAAACGCCACATACGGTCATCTTCACATATGTCACGCCAGAAGCGAGAAACTCGTGCCGCACGAACTATGTCTGCCATTGGGAGATTTGCCACTATTTGAATCGCCAACTAAATCGAATCATTAGTTGCTTGTAGAGAACACTTTCCATTCCATATTCGATAATAACTCCAGTGAAAACCTCCACACAAACAGTGAAATCGGATTGCCCTTCTTACTAAAAGAATGTGTAAAAAAACCCGAAATCTAATAACCTCAACGGGCAGGTGTGAAAGGAAGTCCTTCTGGAAATGAGGTTCTATGAGCTGGCGAACATGTCGCACATGCTGCAATCCACAAGTGCTTATGAGCTGAAGAAGAGCATTGCGTTGACATCGACGGGACATTGCCTGGAAATTTTCTTTTGAGCACATCAATATAAAAAAGTAAATAAATGTATAAATAATTCATTTGTGCGAAGGGGCTTCGACGCAAACCTGCAACCTTGGTGCAACCTTCTTCATAAAGTGCTTGATAGAAATCCCCTCTTTGTTTCATAGAAGGTCTAATGAGACTTGTAATCACAGCACGCCATACGCTGGGGCTCCCCAGGGAGGGTGGGGGACGTATTTGGTCGCTAGAGAGTGGGCGCCTATTACACTCCCCACTCCCTCCCCCTCCCCCACCGGCTTGACGGCGCCTTGTTTCTGGAGAAAGCTCCAGCAAAGCTGTATCGGGAAAATTTGAGAAGACTTGTGTGTGCGATGGGAGATGAGGAAAGCGGATCGTACCAGACGATGAAGCTTTGAGGAGGGTCGTATTTTGCCGGAATTTCCCTCAACGGCAAGACGTGTTCTGCTTCAAATTATTGCCAAACAGGCGCGGAACGCTCCAAGATGGACCCGAATCTTCCAGAAAAACTTCCACAGTCAGAAAATTTGAGTCGGGGACACGGCCTATCGAGGCTCCACCGAGCTATGAGAAAAGATTAGGGACCACTAAGAACAGTTACAAGAAACGAGCATTTGAGTGAAGGAGGGTTGCTCCAGAGAATTCCGAGCTTATTTGAAATTCACTGCAGTCACATCGTGAGTTATGCAAGGAAAAATGAGTTAAAAAATCTGCAAATAACCTGAAATTGGTCCACCCAAGGGCGAATCAAATGAGCATCTTCTATGATTGCATGTGTTGTCGATTCTTCGTCTGAGTCCATTGAGAAACTGAAAATAAAGCAGAGGAATATTCAATTCCACGTAAATAAAGGAAAATATCAAGTTTTTGAAAACAACTGCCTTGTGCCCTAGGCCCACACCTGTACTAATAATTTTGCACTATTCCACCACCCCTTTCCCGTGTCATTAAGCACAACATTATGCATCAATTCCAGAATATCACGCAAAGATAGAAACCAATATAAGACTTTAAACTGAGAAACTGTCATTTGCTTACTCAAAATATCGCATGATGTCCCCAGTTCATTGGAAAAGTAACCAAGACGCGACTATTGCAAAAAAGTACGCCGTATGAGAAACCGGTTAAGTAAAGAGCGCGAGAACACCGATAGAATAGCATGCCAGGACAAACACTCAGAAACTGTTAGGACTCCCATTACACTTCTACGGGTGTGATGAATTTTTGGCGACATGGATTGCAATAGTACAAACAATTGTGGGAATCTGATTCCAGAAAGCGGAACTCACAAACGCGGAAATTTAGCAAGACAATCGTAATATGTCGCGCTGGTGGGCGTGGTGAGAGGCATTTTGAGTGACCAAGGGGACGGGGAAGTCCCGTTTGGCCGTTTAATTTTGAGTGGCGCCAAAGGAACGAAAAATTTCCATAGCGTGTTCATCATTTCTGTCACCGCTTGCAATGTTATGAGTATAGTTGTCAATCGTCAAACTGACGCACATCGAGAATTCGCCACACATTGCCGCAGGACACGCCGTGCACAGCGACGCTACAATTTTCGATTGCCTGGTACATGTCCCTTCAAACGGCGAAAGCTTGCTAAAGCGCCAGTTGGCGCCAACTTTGGAAGACAACGATACATTCGTGACAAGGATAGAGTGTAGAGGTTTCTATCAAATCCGGTGTCAAAAATCGCTGGCGCCAAAATGGCGCCAATGACAAATGAGATCTCACGTTCATGATCAAAGACCCGCGCAGTCCCTGCAGCCAAGGCGTCCAAAAAAAACTAGTTTGGAGGTTTCAGCGCAGCAGTAAGCATAGTCTTAAAAAATTTCAATTTTTGTTTAACAACTCGATCTGGAGGCAGCAACATTTTTCTTGCTCATCCTTGTTGGAAACTCACCATCCACAGGTTACTCGAAAGCAAGAAAAAGATCGATTGAAACTGCCGGCAATAACCCAAAAAGTGATGGAGAAAGTCATGAGCCACCGGTGGCTCAGGTTGTCCCACGTGGCCACTCACTCATGAGCCACCGGTGGCTCAGGATGAAGTCAACGTGTAAAAGCGCGAATTTGACAGCCAAATTAGAAACAGCGCAGACAAGATTCACCATGAATTTGCTGAGAGCCCACAAAAGTTGAAAACAAAATGGACTGCCAGTAACAGTGTAAGTGATTGGTGCGCTGAAATGCTTGTGATTCTTTTTGGCATGAAAACGCTAAAATTTAATTCTGCGATTTCTGTTGAGCTATTAGAGTAGATTCCTCTTTAGGTTCTGCGTCAACTTAATTAAGTGTCACTTTTATTTTTCACAGTCGAAAGGGTTCACCTAGGCCGGAACTAACTCCCTTGTAGATTAGGCAAGAATCTTCCAGCCTACAGCTTGTTTCTTCGCGTTTTTCAGCGTTAACTGTTCCACCTTTTGCATATAGTACCTTAGGGAGGTGTTATATTCATGCCCCAAACGCGAAATTACTTCTATTTTGCCGAGGAGGGAGCAGAAGAGCAGAAGAGTCATCGCTCGCCGCGTGGTCCCCCCCCCAAATACATTAGCACCTTCATCTATTCACTGGTCACGCATCCACCGAATTCGCGGATTCTCTACATTTGTAAGATATGGACGCCACTTAGTTTCGAAGCCAGGTCAGTTGACTATTCCCTTCACATTCATCTATACTAACACCAAAAGCACAATCACAAGAGAAATTTAGCAATATAGCCAAATCATTGGAAATTGCTAACCTAGGGCTTCTAGCATATCGTTTTCCTTGTGAGGCTAGATCCATGGGAGATTTGCGCTTGGAGGAATTCTGAAAAGCTGATCATCAATATCGAGAATCCTGTAACTTACGTCTTCGAGTATCTTCCGGGTTTTGGGACTCATACTAGTCGAAAGACATTAGTGCTAGAGTTTCACAATACCCTTCTGTGCCAACTGGTTTTCCAGGTGAATGGTTAATTAATTGGCCAACGTTTCGACCAAATCGTCGTCCTTAGAAGCCTAAATATGGCTCAAAGTTTATAGTTACCCTATAATCCGTCAAATGGCTCGTCCCACCAGTGTGTCGAACGGAACTTTATGAAACAACCGAAAACCCGCAAGTAAAACAGACACACCAAGTCTGCCGCGGTACGAGGCATTGTTCACAGTCTGCGGCCCAGCGTTTCTCTAGAAAGAAACGCTTCGGCGAAAAGCTTTCGATACGTATCGACTGGCGGTTGGGCGAAAGGGTTTTGATACGAATCGACGGGCGTTTCGCCAAACCGCGACGTTTTTCGCCTTCGCGAAACGCTAGCTCGATCGCCCTGGCGTTTTTCGCCAGCGAAATCGATACACATCTATTGCTTTTCGCCCAACCGAACCGCGGCGGTTCGGCGAAACTAGCGATTCTCCGATGAGCAGTATTCTTTGCTTTTCGCCCAACCGCCGTTTCGCCAGGGTTGCAGACAGTGAACAATGCCTGAGCAGTATGACGCCGCTCTGCTATGATTAAGAGACCTACTCTAGCAAGAGACTACCTACCTAAAGAAGGCAATAATAGAGACTCACTGTGCCTATATAAGTGCAAGGAACTGCACTTCTCATCGGTTACATCACTAGCTCGCGATGGGGTCAAAATGGCAAGAGAGCATTTAATATCAACACTTAGCAGAGCGGACTCATACCGCTCATGCCGCAATGGACTAGGTGGGTCTCTGTTTTGCTTGCGATAGATTTTCGGTTGTTTCCTAAAGTTCCATCCGCACGCTAGAGGGACGAGGCGTTTGACGGATTATGGGGTAATTAATAAACCTCGAGCCATTTAGGCTTCTGCAGACGACGATCTGGTCGAAACGTTAGACCTTTGTTGAAAGCACTACCTGAAAAACTCGTTGGCACAGAAGAATGTTATAGTACTCGCGACAATGCAGCGGACTCCATGTTGTGAAGACGTTTCTCAACACTCACAATTTATGGGTGTACATTTCGGAACCAGACTGTAACAAATCGTAAACTTATAACTGTGAAGTAGCCCACCTGTTTCTCCTCTGAGCACTCTTGAAAAGCACCAACTTCATCTGTAATGCTCTCAACAGAGCTCTGTGAAGTGGGCGGTGATTTACATGGTGATACGCATTCACCTGACGAGTTATCCATCACCTATTACTGTAAAAGAAAGTCTTGAACTTGCTGAAGTCACGAAATTGCGAAGAGCAATGACACCGACAAAACCGTTCCATCATAGAATCTTTGGCTCGTATCACGCAATAGTTTCAAAGAATGAAATGGAGTTCAAATCGTTGGTTTGACAAGGATGGTATGTGCCTAATCTATCACGTGTGCCTTATCAATCGTGCCGCAGATTCCCTGCGCTGAAATTCGATCATGCGCTTTTCACAGCGTGACATCTACGCGATAATAAAGCAACCGCTGTAAGCATGCGTGTTGGGTTCCCCAAAACAATACCCCAAATTTTTTTGTGTCCATTGAAGCACTGAAAAATTCAGTCCATTTTGAATAATGTCAAATAATAGTAATAATAATCGTCCCCGATCTAATAAGTGGGCGGAGTCATCGGGGGTGGAGCCATGTGTATCACGCAAGCCCACTCAACAATGTATATGTATGCCACAGTGGAATTATAAAAACATGTGTTGATATTACGTTGCATTAACTGCACGACGTAAATTATAGAGTTCGCTGCCAAAAGGTGGTGGTTCTCTGGGCGGGGCTTCAATGAGGTCTACCGGCCAATAGTGTGCGTTGCACGTTCGCGGCAAGCCTGGACAAAAAAGCTCTGTAAAAGACTGTTAAGATCCGGGACGCAGCCGCATAGGACAGCGACCGCTGGACCAGAGTTGCGAGGGATTAGGCTGCGTTCATACTTTGCGTCAGCGTACGGCAGCTTTCGAGCGTTTTAAGATTAGGTCAGCGCCAGCGACTAGGAAAGTAGAGGCATCAATCTGGCGCATACGCAGCGTCTCCAGCGACTAGGAAAGTGTGGACTATCTCTCAGCGTGCATCGCAAGGTATGAATAGCCTCCTCCAGGGAGTGGAAAAGTAAGGGGTAGCTACGGCTACTGGATTAGGCTCGTGTCCACTGCACCGTACGGCTGCACTGCACCGTACAGGGGAGAGGGGGACAAAAAAGTCACTTCAACCGAGTCACATGCCAGCAAGTTTTTGCAGATCGGACGGAGGACGTGGATTACCAAGTACGCGAGGGCAGAGGACTACCCATGATGCTTCTCTCGATAAGAAGGAGGCTGGCTCTTCGCCCATCATCATGTACATCAGAATAAGAAGTCATCTCGCGTCGCAGAAAACCTGACTGGAGAAGACCTTTGGAATTCATGTCACCTCCAAACAGCTACGAAACTTCTAGTATGGAGTCACCCATGGATAGCTACCTGGAGACCAGTACTCTCGATCTGGAAGACCTCCAACATCGAGCAGCTCCGACAACGTCGCCACGGTCTAGGACATCATCTTCACCAAAGTCGGCGAAGGCGGCCGGTGGTATGGACCCGGAACGTGCCCTGAATGGACAAGAACGGAATGTTTTTTCTGGGCCCGGACTGAAGAGTGAGGCGCTGGCGGTCCACACTGAGCGGAACCCAGAAGAATATTCCTCCCGCACTATGGCGGCTTCGCCCAGCACGCTTTTTGGCGAAACTTTTGTACCTCTTGCAAACTTTGTACTGCTACAGCATTGGGTGCCACCACATGGAATCGAAGGGCATTGGAGAAACTCTCGCCTACTTGGAATGGAAGGGCGTTGAGTACCTGAAGAAGATGGAATATCCAAGTAGGTCACCTGACCTAAACCCCCTCAATTACCCGGTTCGGGCGGAGCTCAACAGGGTGGTCTACAGTGGCGGAGAAATCAACTATCTCGCTGAACTCAGGTACCCACTCGGTCGCGTGGCAGAATCTCTCGATGGCGCTCCTCCAGAAGGCTGTGGCGGAGTATCATGATAGTATTTAATATGCTCTTTAATATGGTGGTAGAAATGTCCGATCAGAATTTGATAAAGTGTAACTTATAGCGCCTCGAAAGTCAAGGAAGAAAAGTGACTTTTTGCCCCCCCCCTGTACATCAAGATTGCATGATGCTGTGCTTTAGCAGTTTCACGATTAGGTCGCACGCGCCGCAATCTAACGACGTCTAATCCAGCAGTCTGCTACCACCTAGTTCCCCTACTCTCCACTCCTGGTGGATGCTGGCGTGCGCTGGAACGCTTGACCGATACCTATACTTTCCTAGCCGCTGGAAACGCTCGCGTACGCTAGAACGATACCTATACTTTCCCAGTCGCCGGCGATGGCATACGCTCGAAACGCTTAAAACGCTGCCGTACGCTAATGCAAAGTATGAACGCTGTTTTACCGCCTGGATTCCACGGGATATCGAACGAACGCCTTGACGACCGTCTACGGCATAGCCAGACTTCTTCGTGAAAGCTCTGAACGAATGAAGTTCATCGTGTCCCTCAAAAATACAGAACCTGGGCAACTTTGGGCAGTCCTAGCACGTTAGGGTCGAACGGAGACATTGCAGGCCCCCGCTCGAGCAACTCGATGATCAACAGCAGGTAGGTGATATGTGAACAAATATAATGAAAAAAGAAAGTGACAAGGATTCCTACACCCCCTGCGCTCGTGATGAAGGATTTCA